GTCTTCCATGGGGGGGGGTCTTTTTTTTGACCACCGAAGTGTTCACTTGTTCCAAACTAATCAATGCTTTCAAGAGATAGAATTAATTTTGTGGACAGTCCCGATCTGGAAAAGCTCTAAACCTAAGCTTTCTTTGCAAAACATGCGTGGCTGCAGTCACGCAACGATTATTATTCCCAGTTTGCACCTTCCCCTCTGGGAATGCCTGGGACCACAACAGTTGTTTTGTGTACAAAATATGACTGAAAAACACTTGCAGATTATGAGTCTCACTGCTTATGCAATGGAGACTAATTAGAATTAATAAAGAAAGTTAGTGTGCACTTGCCAAAACTGTAGCCAACTGTTGTTAAATAATTAATTATTAATAACAAATATTTATTATGCATATCATAATTATGAATATGAAGGTAATAACTTTGGTTTTTTCACTTATAGTTCCCTAGCTTCATTCACACTCAGAAGAGGAATCCAGTCACTCACCTTAAGGTAAAGTATGTAATTTTCATAAAGAAGTACAAGCATATACCCTAAATTTCACTCAATATTGGTCTCCAAGTATCAGTTATATATATATATAAATAAATGTTAGGGCAATGTCTTATTAATTCTTAAAAGCACACCCTTTGTAATTAAGCCTTTTCAACCCAATTCAACATTTTAGTGCCCAACATTTAAATTCATTTCTCCTTTTAATAACACTGCTAGATCAAGCAAATAGTAATAGTGGTTTTACATATAAGAAATAAAGAAATGATCAACAAGTGAAAAAGTTTATGATTGTTTAGCAGATCATTCTCCTCACCAGTACCATACATGTATGTTATGGGGATGGTTTAAATTATATTTTTCTTTGTCTTAAACTCATTAATACATACATATCATACATTACCGTACCCCAAAACAAAGGGAAAGAAAATTAAACCAAGGATAAAATTAAACCACAAGAAATACTACATAGTGCTGATTTAAGAGTTTCAAGCGAGGGGGCTTTAGAACCCTAATGAAGACCACAGAAATGCAAGTTAAGTCCAAGAAAACTGAAAACCACAGACTGGAATGATCAAAAAGAGCAAATTCATAGATCTTACTCTGGCTTTGAAAAGGTCTTAATACATGTTGCAGTTAATTTTTTTATCTCAGGTAATTTTTGCCTTTCTTTTGTTTTTGGTTATGGTAGTGTATGCTATAGTCTCCCTCACAGCGGTTTTTTGGATGTCACGCAACACTCCCAATTTCAATTTCGCACAACTGACCTCAAATCACATCTGATCGCACTATTTGGGGGAGCGTTGCGTGACATCCAAAAAACGTCTGCGAGGGAGACTATGTATGCTAGTGAAGTTTAAACAAAGGAAAAATAAAAATTACCTACAGCATATACATGTAGACTTCAATCCTTATCACTGATTCAAAACTTTCGGAAATGTTTATGGATATACTTAGTAAAAAAATCAGAAACAGGTTATAAGCACTTAGAAGAAACCCCAAAGTGAAAAAAAAATTAATTAGTGTTAAAGAAGAACCAACAAAAGAATGATTAAAAATTAAAAATAAAAAAATACTGTGAATGCTGAGGATGTAAAATAAAGCAAACAAAATTCAAGTTCAATTTTGAGGCCAAAGACCAACAACCCAAGCCATTTAAAACTGTTCAATGTTGCCAGTAATAGTCACCTGCACAATAGATTGGTATGACCAGCAAAATGACATTTCCTTCTGTCTGTTCTCATGCTTAAAAAAACAACAAAAGTTAACTTGGAAACAAAATGTTTGCAGGATCCTGATATGTTCTGGGATTTTATAACTTTGCGCCCAGAGACCACTCATCAAGTATGCTTCCTGTTCAGTGATCGAGGAATTCCTGATGGATACCAACACATGAATGGATATGGAAGTCACACATTCAAGCTATTGAGTGACAAAGGAGATGTTGTCTACTGCAAGTTCCATGTGAAGGTACAGTGTCTGAGTTAGATGTAGTGTTATCTGTTGAATCAATGCATAACTGCAATAAGTGTTCAGCTGTGCAGTGTGTTGCTGTCTTTGCTATTATTAGCTACAAGTGTAAGGTCATGTTGTTCAGGGACCTGTAGGCCTGTTCACAGATCCTCTATTTTCTCTTTTTAGGGATTGTCGTGTCTGTGTTTGGAAATGCTCGCTCTTGCATGCTTATCGATTTTGGAATAGGGACCAACTGTTTCAACCAAAACTTTGAAAAGTACTAGCAAGAAAATGTACAGCTGTACTGGTTCTGAAATGTACTTGAACTTTTCACTGATAAACGGCCAGGCCCAAAACCTTTGGAAAACAAAACAATCCATTTTGTTCATTTTACTTTAAGTGAACATTTCCTTTCTTGTCCTTTCTATGGCACTCCTTGCATAGAAATGGTTTATTCATTAGAGCGTTTGACTGTAGAGCGGGAGGTCGCAGGCTCGATTCCTAGGACCAGACCAATACTCTGGGTCTTAAAATAACTGAGAAATGAAGATACATATACTGCCTTTGCCCTGCAAANCCCTAATTTTTAGACCAAACTGAGGCCTGAGAAGCTGAAAAAAATTTTTTTGGAGACCGCCCCCTTATCTCAGGGTCTGGATGACCGTCCCCCTGCTATCTGAAGGTCTGGATACCCCACTGCCTCAATTGGTACTTTTGTGCTAAATACATCAACACACAAAGAAAGTGCTTTTTTGAGATATTAGATGTTTGTTTGTTTTTGTTTTCATAGACTGACCAGGGAGTGAAATGTGTGCCTGCTGATAAAGCAGAACAGATAGCTGGTTCTGATCCTGACTATAACAACAGGAAACTCTTCAATGCCATTGCCAGTGGAGATCCTGTGAGTTACATGAAAGGACAGAGGGAGGGCACTAACATTTGGGATGAGTTGTTATGCTGACTTATTATAGTCTTTGTTGGACTGGAAGGGTTATCTTTAAGTTTGAAGATGAACCATCCTCGGCAAGTTTTTTTCTTTCAAGAGACTTTTATGGTGGAACTTCTTCTTGTTGTATTCTTATCTCCTTGCACTTGTTCTTCTTGTTTTGTTATCTCCTCTTTCTTCTATCGTTGAACTGAATGTTAGTGAAAACCAAGTTAAAGGAAAGCCTCTGTAACAAATCCCTCATTGCAGGAAACAACAAGCTTTGCTGTAGTTACAGTGAAATATATGGGACAGAACAACCAGAATTATACAATGACCGTGAACTGGAAAAATTGTCAAAGATTTAAATCATTATGTCTTCCAATGTACAAGCTATCGTGACTTGTATTCATGTAAAAATTTTATTTCTTATGTTTGTTGATCAGCCGTCATGGACAATGTACATTCAAGTGATGACTTTTGAAGAGGCTGAGAAATTCAGATGGAACCCATTTGACCTGACAAAGGTAAAATCATGTCTGAGTGTCATGTTATATAACACACAAGTGTCCTTCTGACCTCTAGCGCGCACACCTTAGTTGTGAGTCCCATGATTTCTGACATACAGAACAAGGCAATTCATCTTTTAAATCATCTTAAATTACTCTCTTTCTAATAACCTCTGAAGGAAAAACTACATGTATAAGACTTAGAACCTTCAAACAACAACCCCAACTCCAACCCCTTAATCAGGTCTAAATGGCATCTTCAATATCCCTTTGGGTGATAATATTATAATTATACAGGGATTGGGTCAGAGATCCTGCCTGATGCCTTGCTGAGATTGATCTTTGTTTTTGTTGGTTTTCAGATCTGGCCACATTCTGAGTACCCTCTGATCCCTGTAGGCAAGATGGTGCTTAACCGTAACCCCAAGAACTACTTTGCAGAGATTGAACAGAGTGCTTTCAACCCTGCCAGCATGGTTCCTGGAATTGAACCATCCCCAGATAAGATGCTTCAGGTATAATTATTATGATCATAGTGCAAAGGTGTTCGTTTTATAGCTACCCTAAATGAAAAGCTAGCTCGCAGGGCTCCGATGAGGCCCAGGGACTATTCACATGATACCATCGGGCAAATTAAGTACAGAATTCACCAGCCCAGTAGCAAAATCCACTACCCCCGGGTTATTGGGCACTACTTTCTTTACACGCTGTACCTGACAGCTCTTGCACCGACACGAAAACCATACCGGAAACGGGCATCTGCTCACACAAAAGAACGGTGGTTTCGGCGCGATTTCTGTAACCGAGCAAAGCTGAGCTGCGCTTATCTTGAAACTGGATCATCACATATCAGATCGTCACATATTTGGACCGTACCGGAAGTAAATGAGTGGTAGCCTGCGAAAACAGCCGTTTCGCCTCGCTCTTGGCCGCTAGGGACGTTTCGCGCGGAGGAACGTCTGCGACTCAGCGACAGAAATTCCATACTGATGACGTAAATCAATGTTTACATGTTAATATATCCGGTAGTCATGGGTTCCACATCCAAATTTGTTCAATTTTACGTTTCTTCTGGTCGGTTTTACTAAAGTGTTGTGTTCATCTGCGGACGAGCTCCAGCAAAACTCAAATGCTTCTTCCAGAGAAGAATATATTCCATTAATTTTGACTGTTTTGTTAGCGATTCATCGCGTTTTCATTTGACCTTCGTGGCCTTTTGTCTGTAATTCGTAAACAAGATCTAAAACAATGTAACTACTCCGTTGACCAATCAGCGCTTCTGACCGGATTCCGGACAGATTTTAGTCATCAGTATGGAATTTCTGTCGCTGAGTCGCAGACGTTTTTTTTTCGCGAAACGTCCTCAGCGGTGAAGTCAAGAGAGGAGAAACGTCTGTTTTTGCAGGCTAAATGAGTGGGAGCGAGAACTGGAACCTGCTGAGACGGAAGTAAATATTCAAAAGTGAGGATTAGGATATGCCGTAGCCTCCCACGCAGACAGGAATGCGTGACGAACCCCTAAGAACGTCTGCGTGGGAGGCTAGATATATGCCGTCGGTTGCATCCAAACGTGGACACGAGACAAAGAAACATGTTCTAACAGACGTGACGGTTTTTGCCGCCAAACATTTGAAGTTTAACAGCCATTAAAGCAAACTGCCGTGCCAAAGGTAAGTTGTTTATAAGTTTTTGATCAGCGCGTGTTGCTCATATTTCATTTTTCTAAACTTTGAGGCATATTTCTCGCTCAGAAACAGCACACCTGCCTCCAAAAATTATTCTTAACATCTAAAAATTCTTGCAAAGAATATTTTGTTAAGCGAAAACAATCAAGCCGACAACAGCCGCCTACTCCAAACTTCAAATGTTTGGCGGCAAAATATGTCATGTTTGCACTCAATTAGAACATGTGTTTTTCCTCGCATGTACACGCTAAGATGCAACCGACGGTAGTTCACTTAACCAACTCGGCCAACCGCCATGGTACGATGTTTAATGTGATGAACGACTTGCTCTAGTTGTGTGCCTTTACTGTTCGCACTTTACCGACTAACTTTTCGCATCAGCACGAGAAGCTATCTGATGTACTGAGTGAGACAGATCCAAAATCACAATATTTTATGCCTTGCAGGGCCGTCTGTTTTCTTACCACGACACTCATCTTCACCGATTGGGAACCAACTACCTTCAGCTGCCAGTGAACTGTCCTTACAGAACCAGAGTCACTAACTACCAGAGGGATGGGCCACAAACATTTGACAACCAAGGTATACTTAAGAGTACAATTTTCAATTGTATTTTTTTTGTCAATATTGACATGAAATAATACTTTCAATTGAGTTGGTTATTCACGTTTATTTGTGCTACAGTGAAAGGCTGTAGAAGATCTCTGCAGTTTCTTGGCTTTAAAAAGCCGAATTGTTAGAGGGACGATTATAACTGATCTCGGGTTAGTTGCCATGAAAGCTCGTACCTTCTCATTGTTGGTAGTTAGCCTATTATTAGAGGCTGGCAGGGTTTCGGGCAACTTGGCCCTGGAATAT